TTTTTTTTGMAGTGGTCGAGTTATGCAGAGTGAAGATATGGATATACGTGAGGTCTTTGTATCGCAAACCCGACCAAATAAGGAAAGGTGGCAGTTTTTTTATCTAAAATTTTCCACTAACGAGTATTTGCTTAGACAAATCTCTGTCTCCAGGGAAAACCAGCTCCTTTTGACACAAACAAATCGATCAGCTACGTCATCCACAGGGTCAATGCAAGAAAGTCTACTATTACATCGTCCCCGATATTTACAGCAAGGTCTCTCTCACAAAGGTTAGGCAAAGCTTCCTCGGCTGTTTGGCATACGGCAAGGCAATATTCCAGCTCCACGGAAGATGGAAGTCCACGAAGTCCAAAAATATCAACGTCAAAGATTCCCTATCCACTGGTGGATTGTCCCATCGTGAGGACCCTGAACAACAGCGCAGACCCGTCCGATTGCCGATTGTCGTCCTGGCTAGCATGTCCCTACTGAGGAAAACACCAAGTATTGAGTTTATGCAAATGAGGGAAGAAATTGAAAAATTGCTATTGCTATTGCATGAACAGTTAGCCTATAGAGAATTGAACAAGATAYTTTGGGTAGCATATACTCTGACCCTTAACGTTAACGGTCAGTCAACTACTTTCCATACAACTTCTAAGATATCCTTTTTTTTCTTGAAAAGCATGTGTACATTCATTAGTGCAAATGAACTTTTTTCCAAAGTTCARTAAAATACATATGGAAAAATATATAAATTAATTTCTTGATGCCTTCATGGAAATCGATTGTTTTCTCCCGAATCGTGTTAATGGGGAGTTTAAGCATGGCAGAGCTAAACCAATGACCTAAGAATTTTGTGCCTGACCTTGGGTAGTCATTTGAAAGAGYGACTTTTCAAGAGTTCCAGATAAGGTCAGATACGATTGGACGCGACTCGTACAATTCCAGTCTAGAGGTCGTTTTCGAAATTCAGCTCGCGATACGTCTGCACGCAAACTGTACAATAATATGCTTGTCATTCAAGTGAAGAAGCCAGACATTTTGAGTCGAAAGCGAAATGTTTTCAAGGGCAACTCGAGTTCTAATTCCCGCAAATTGTGACGACGTCTTGGCGACTATTYGAATGTTTTTGACTCCAGAATCACAAAAAACTCGCTATCAATATTTCAGGATTTCTCATTTAAGTGATAGGAGTGCTTATATCAAGCACTATTTCAAAGATTTCCTGATGCAGTCGCTAGACGCGATCCATATTCGTGAAGAAGAAAAAACACCTACAATACGCAGACTTTGTTTATGTAACTTGCCGATTGACTCATAGCTATAAAATACAATAAAATATTGTGTAATCAGTAAAGAGAAAATCCTTCATATTTGATCTCGATATTTTATCACATTTTAAAAAACTATGTGGGGGGTTTCTCTTTATCCCCGCACTTCCCCATTCAAATATCAAAGGGAATGTCCCCCAAAAAAGAAAGAAGATACTCGAAAACTTGACGACGTGCAGCAGCCTGCATCTGATTCTGGTTCCTTCCACGAACCTTGTTACCTGGAATACGATAYCGAGTACTGCAATTCGTAAGTATGCACACATACGGGATATTACTAATTTCAGTCCTGTATTCTGATTGGGTCTTACAATGTTACATAAACCGCCTCGGTCTATATCAATAGCAGCAGAATTTGAACCGTTAAAAAGAACTGACGGCACACCGCGCTTGCAAACCCTTTTCCCATCATATGTTTTAATTGATAGGTTTGGACAAATAATTTTTATGCTTAGAATAGGTTTATTGAATACCGCCAAAGGTCCACTTGAGGATAAAAAAACCCTCCAAATCCGATGGGTAGGATGCGAAAATAAAGCAAAAATAAGGCGAAAAAACGACAGCTATGAGAGAAGAAGTTTGACAAGTACCAAAAATTTTTATTAGTCGCCTTTCGCCTTTTTTTTGAAAACTTTTGCAGTTACATCGTTCTATATCTATATTAGGTATTTAAACTTGTCAGTCAAATTGAAAAAAAAACTTAAAAAGAGTTTGATCCTCCATAGCTCAAGAGCACGACTTCAGATTCAATGGAACTCAACCAATAATACACTTTGCTACCGAACGTGCAGACACTTCAGTGGGTGTACTACGAAGTTAATTTGCTGTTAAATTTGCTGAACAAACAAAAACACTATCAACGAATTCCTGTCTGTGTTGAGCGTGATTTTTTGCTGTTGACCTCTTGCGCAAGAAAAAAATACAGCCACAAACACGTAATAAAGTGGATTTGTTTGCGGAAACGTAAGGCACGAACATTACAACAAACGCAACCGCTGACTTAACATGCTTACAGTGATAATTTCAAAGTGTCGTAAGTCTTGTCTGGAGAAAGTATACTGCCGACTTTTCTCAATGTGTTTAATAAGATCCTTACCAGTGTTTAAAGTTTCTTGTATAGTGTGTCAAACTTCAGGAGAATCGCCGTGACACATAATTACTTTCTCCATTCTCTATTACATCCTACATWATGACGAAATGTTTTCAAAGTGGAATTAATTATAGACTCAGGAAGTACGTCTGAAAGTGAGATGAGATCTTTACGTGGTATACAGTGTTTTTATGTTTAATCGTTTAAGTATTTCTATAACGATAGGCGCGTCTGGTGCCCAGAGAAATAAGAATAAAAACAAACGATGGACGTGACTGCTCTGCAGCCAATAAAAAAAAAAAATACTTTTCATAAGTTTACGGATCACAGGTTATGTAATTAAACTGCTTAACCAACCGCTTTAAGTTTCAAGAGTGCTTGTTACTGATCATGAGTTTGCTAAGAAAAAAAAAACCTATTTTATAAAAGATTTAAGGATATAAATGTAAATCGCTATGCAATTAAAAATGTATACATATATAAATGTTGTTGKTTTTATAGCTTCAAGCTGGTGTTTTGTTCTATTTCATTCTACTTTTCATATATAAATGTTGATATATGAAGATATCACATACAATGTTTTATTATTAATGTATTCGTTAGTTAACTTAATTAATTGTTTTAAATATTTTCCTTTGCATTTAGGTATTTATCGTTAAGCTTTGACATTCAGTTTTGACATATATCGTATACATCAAGTTTAGCAAAATAGTATTATAGTATTAKTGTTGCATGTTTTGCCGAATAATGTTTGCTATCAATCGACCAGACTTGAAAGTTCATCAAGTCGAGTAAGGATTTCACACTCGTATCGAGATAAATGTAAATATTTAACAACAACAGTCACGCGATGAAAGACCGAATCACAAATCTCAAGAATATTTTTATTTTGCCTGAAAATACCAGGTGATCGTGTTTGTAAATGCTTCTRAATAACAATAAAAGATTAACAGCTAACTAGCAACAAACAGCCAATGTCCATGAAGAAGTAGCAGAGTATGGCAGATTATTGTACTCCCATCCTATATCCTATAACTACCATTTTGCCATGATCTAAAAGAAAAGATGTTAGGCTTGGGCACTTGAGTTCTAAAAGTAAGTTAAAGTTCTGTACAAAAGAAACTATTGTAATTTGTGATTACGTTGTGATTAACAATGGAAAAAAAAATCACTGAAAGATCAAATATGCATGTAAAAGAATCTGTTTGGGATTTAACTTAACAGACATAAATATTAGTATATTATTTTTGTCGGAGCTATTAAATTTTCGTGGTATATTTACACTTCAGTCAGTTATATTAATCTACGGAATGTAACTTTTATAAGTTRGTTATGAGCTCCGGAAGCTAAGGTAAGGGAAGACAGCAGTCACCGGCAGGCATCACCTTCCTGAACGTACAGGTAACGTCATTCGTAAAAATACCAGTGTCATTCAACACCTATATATGAAAGACAGGATGACTGCAACACAATACTTTGATACTACAAGAGAAGAAGAAACCTGAAGTGCTTGCAACTTTATTGCTGGAAGTGTACTTGCATTGGAGAGATCTTTAGGGAAAACCATGGCCATGCATTTTGGTGTGTTTCTTGTGTTTAGTTTTGCAATGACCCAGCTGTCTGTACATGGTGAGTGAACATTATAGACTACCAGCGCGGTCATGTCTGCAATAGGGCAAGAAAGTGCTCGCGTTGTTGTTCCATCCTAAGTTCTTGACAAAGCGATGAGGACTATTCCGTCGACCGAATATAAGTCTCAGAGTTTAGTCTATCATTCTGGTTAGCTTATTGTTGTACCGGACGTATTGTTACCCGCGCTTATTAATTAACTTGCAAAACGAAGCACAATTTGAGTGGCCATTTGAAATGCACGACATGCTCGAAACACTCGACGTGCTATGCTTTTCAAGATATAAGGACACGAAAGGCCGTATTCATAAAGGAGGATTAAAATTAAGATAAAGCGTGAACCTTTTAAGAGGTGATTTATATATCACTTTTTGTTTGCTTATAAATCTGTTTCTAAACACTACTAATAATTGGATTAAATAGCGACTGTGCTTCATGTTGAGAACGAGCTGTAAGAAACGATTCACACTTAGTTTTGAATCGCTATCTTTTGTTCGAGGTAGTGCAGAGTATACACTAGTCCTATCTACAAAACATCACATCCTCTACAAAGGAATTCAAAGTATTTCCTTAGCATAATAATTACAGTAAGCTGGAATTTATATCATTTATCATCAAGTACATTGTTCACTAAACTGAAGATAACTAATAAAGATCCAGGCCTTCAAAGCCCGTAAATAAATACCTAGTAAAAAATACAGCGATGTTCGCAAGGTATTCTCTGGCATATTTATCAACAKTAGAGAACAAGTCGCGTGTATGTGTTCAAATTAAACGTGTTCACTAAACATACTACTTAACCTTTCTTTTTTTTCTTTCTTTTTTTTTTTAAGTATCAAGTATCTATGTCTATCGACCGCATTTGATTAAATTCTCCATGCTATTTTTTTAATGATCGTGATTTTACTGAGCCGCGATAAAAATGAAGTAGTGCTTTTGCCCCAGTGAAAAAAATATCTTTTTATTATTCGTTCCCAGGTCGCTGGATTCTGTGATCTCGGTTCAGAACTAAACCTTCCCAATATCCAATCTATGGATCAATGTATCGTTTCTTCATCGTGACACGACTCAATGATTTCTGTATAACGCATCTATAATAGAGCAATGAATAAGTCAGCCATCTTGAGTTAGGTTTTAGTTTCAATTTCAACATCATGTATAGCTTATTGGGAAAAATGTAAAATTGAAGCAAGTAACAAAAGTAGTATGAGGCGGTGCGAACAGTCCAACTTGACGCTCTGAAAGCGCTTACACGGACTTTACACGTTTTTCTTTTTTTCTTCGTTAAACTGGGTCAATGAGGAGCTTTATCCTCTCGAATTTCTAACTGTATTTATTTTGTACTTGCTCTGTTTGCTGTATTTTAGTCTGTAGTGGTAATGGCTGGGTATACAATAGCCTATTGCAACTTCCTATTGTTGCTGCTGCCGAATGCTACAATGCCGAATATAATTCTAAACAACGC